TATATATATATATACAACTTACAACATAACAATACCATCATCATCCTCAATAGTTCAGCATGCAACATATAACAACACACAACTCAACCACAGCTTCACAACTCAACAACATATATTCAACTTGCATCCACATAGAATCAACTCATCAACAACTTATGTGTCGTCATGCATTTTAGCTTGGAGATCTCCTACAACATAGGTGAGCAGTCTAAGCGGTTAGGTCCTATCACACAAAACCTTTTTGGGCTTGCTAGGTAAACATCAAATTTGGATAACAATCCACAACACGATAACAGTTTCTCAGACTTTTCCACTTAAACAAGGAAGTATAGTACTCTGTCAGGATAAAACAGCTGGGTTTAAGCCTACCACAATATTAGCTAGTTCAACTAAGCCACCTATGGGATTAGCCTACCGACTATCTTCCAAATACCACAATCCTCCAATACTCAATTAGGAACTTAGTTCCCGATTTCATACTTTACTCAAATTTGGCCGCTTGTAACCGGTATAACTCGACTTGACCCCTATACCGTGGTCGCTTCATACACGTGTGCCTTGACCTTGCCCACACACAAGACCAACTAAGTCCTAGAGGAGAACAACACATCATCCACTCTAATAGGAAACTTCCCTATATATATATATAAAAACATATCAAGTGAGAGGAAATTTATTATAAGAGATAAGAGAGTTAAAATATAATCTTTAAATTAATCAAGTGAGAGAAAATTTAAGGTTTAATCAAGTGAGAGGAAATTAATTAAATAAATTTCCTCTTGATATCCTCTATATATATATATATATATATGTAATTGAGGAAACCTAAGACAGTGACATAATGACTTAGCCACTGCGACGAAAATGAATCCTCTTTATTTTTTTTCTTTTCATTTTTAAAAATTTAATAAAATAAAATTTATGAAGTTGATATATACTCTAAGACAAATTATTTTATATTTTAAAATTTTTAATAATAAAAAAAATGAAGAAAAAAGAAAATAGAGAAGATCCTAACTCGCGAGGGCTGCTAGGAAAGCCTTTGTTCTTGTTTACAGAGGTGCGAATATTGGCCAACTTAAGACTCATAATGCGTGCCAGCTAATAAAAAATAATTGTTTCCACAAATACCTTTGAATATACATTCTATATTTAATTATCTAGAGCAGATACATACATTCAGTGAGTCCTTAGTGCAAGTACAGTCTACAAAATTACAGTATACTTTGCGTCTGCAAACCCAAAAACATTAACAATAAACAATTTCTTTTCACATGGTTAACATGGGATAATCCTTAGAGATAAACTTCTCAATAAATATTTTTTAAAAAATACGAAAAAAATAAAATAATTTTCTTTATAAATTAAAATTAATTTATGCATTAAAAATTCTAATATAATTTTTCCAAAAATTTATTTTCAATTTATGCATAAATTAGTTTTAATTTATAAAAAAAATTATTTCATTTTTCTTCTTAGAACATGTTTAAATATAAGTTTACAAATTTTTTTAAAAACTTTTCTACTAAAAGTAAAAAAGTTTTTTCAGTAAAATTTTTTTTCAAAAATACTTTTAACTTATATTTAAATAGGTTCTTATTTTGTTTTTTTTTTCTCACAAAAGTAATTTGGAAGAAGTTTATCAAAACATTTCCTAAATTAAGTTTTTCAAAAAATTCTCTCTGGCTTTGGAGTATAATATGCCTCTCTTTCCACATCCAACATATAGAGCAAAAACTCATTCCATGTGTCAACTGGCCCCGGCAAGCACCAGTGAACACAGTCATTGAGTGTAACATTTTTGTCCTTGGTGTGTCCATAGTTATTAGGGTGTCCATCAGGCCTCATCAGCATAATCTCAGTTGTGTTCATCATCAAAAACTTCAGACCCCTCTTAGTGGCTTCCCTTTGTGCTTCCCTAAATTCCTTCACTTGTGTCATATACATCTCTAGAATGTACCCATCAAGCCTCATTTCATCCCTAGTGAATGGCCTAGTCCTCACACACTTCCCTCCCTTGTTCCAATCCCCTCCCTCAAAGTGTGCTGGTGAGAATGTCCTCAAAAATGTGACACCCTTGTACCCTTCAAGGCTATTGAGAGTCCTAAATGCAGTCCTGAAGGCCTTTTTGTATCCATAGTAGTATGAAAGTTCCTCCACATTCTCCATTTCACACTTGTTGCATCCAACTAGTTGACCCTCTTCATAGAACAATAGAGGCCTAAAGAACCATTGTCCTGTTGAGATTATGACAATGTCAAAGTTTTCTACCTGGCTTGTCCATGCTTCATCTGCCTCATCTAGATAGAGTTTCATGATGCTGTTGAAGCTGTGGCCTTTGGGGTCAGCATCACTTGATCTAACAAAATATGGAGACCATAGGTTTCCAAGGGTGAAATTGTAATCATGGTAGAAATAGCGTTTGAAGTATATGACATCTGAAGAATATTTGTGAGAAACATCCTCAGGTTCAGACACCTGAAAGAGTAAACCAACCACATAAGAATGTGATTAGGATTGCTATCTTCATATGAGTAGAACTTTTTAACATAAAAAGGTTTTAATTTTAACTGTAATGTCAAGAATTTTGGGGTCTCTGCCAACACAATTGTGGCTATAATAATCTACGATTTTTTATAACATCAAGAATTGCAACGAAATTGGGAACGTGCTCACAATTTAACACAATTATGGCCACAATAGTCTATAATTTCCTGCAACATCAAGAATTGTAACAGAACTGTGACCATGACCACAATTTAACACAATTGTAGCTGTAATAGTCTACAATTTGTTACAATATCAAGAATCATAATGAAACTATGACCACAGCCACAACTTTACTCAATTGTGACCACAATGATCCACAATTTCCTGCAATATCAGGAATTGCAACGAAACTGTGAACATGGCCACAATTTAACACAATTGTGGCCGCAATATTCTGTAATTTCGAGCAACATCAAGAATTGCAACAAAAATGCAACCGTGACCACAATTTAAAATCTTGAACATAATCATGCAAAACATCTCCTTAACAAAAATTTCTATCAGAAATACTAGTGACTGATTTATGAAGAATTTAGACAATGGGGTAGATTGAGTGGTATAATGCAAGGATGGTGTCACATGGTACAATTTTTTTAGATTCTATTCTCTCGGAAAAGCCAGAAAAAGAAGGTATGAATTGATTACTTACATGACTTAAGAGGCACAACAAAGACTGCATCTGGTTTCTCCCCACTGAGTCCCCAACAAATGCCATCTTCTTTCCTCTCACAAGATTTAAGAATTGAGTTGCACTGAAGAGTGGAAGGTCACATTCATCGGGTTTCCACCTCCAATGCAGGTACTCTCTATCAGGCCTCCCAAACTTCATGCAGTTTTGTTGGTCTATTATCCAATGGCATGTTTCATTGTTGTAGTAAGGTTCTTCCGGACTATGGATCCACCTTCCAGAGAAGATGTTACATTGCTTTATTTCTGTGTTGTTCAAACGTCTCACACTGACAGAAGATATCTCAGGAGCTGATTCATGAGAGTTTCTCATAAGAGTAAGAGGGATCATAATGAGAAGAAGAGTGAAGGGTACCAGGAAAATACTTTTGGCAGTGTTTCTTGTTGTGTACTTCCCATTGAGAATCTCATAGGCCCGAAACTTCATTTTAATTGCTGAGCTATGTTCTGAATCAAAAGCTTTGCTGAATGTGTCATATAAATATGAACTTTATTCTAATGTTTGGTTAGGATAAACCTTTCAAGTTTTAAACTAAAGTTTCTCAAGGTCTGCCTTATTATAGCCAAATCATCTTCATTAGCTCATATGTCCAAGTCTTGTTAAGGTGTAATTATTCATTAATGATATTTTGACTTTACATAGATAAAGGGGAATAAAGAACAAAGCAAAAATAAAGTCTTATTTTCACTTTTATTTTTTTTCTATGCTCATCTTCAATGTTATAGTTGTAAAAAGGGGGCAATTGCTTCTTTTCTAAACCATTGAGTCATATAACACTCTGGCTTCTGTTCTGCTTCTAGATTTGCATAAACAATGCTCCTTATGCACATCTTTTAATATGCAAGTGCAAGAACAACGAACCTTTGAGGTTGCTAGCCAATTCATAAACAACCAAGTCTGATTAATAAAACATGTCAAAAACTACAAAGTGAAAAATAAAATACAATAGGTGTTAGAAACCACCCAAAGGGAATCCAAGAATATTGGTCCCTAGTGCATTAATTGTTTACTGTGATTTGTCAGTTTCTTTGGGGAAGTGAGAGAACCAAAGACAAAAGGAAGAAACTAAAACTGATAAAAAAAATTTACTTATTAGTTATTAGTTTATTACTATTACTACTATTTTTTTTATGTAAGCATGTGTGGCTGAAGTAATCAGGTAGATCTCATGCTGGTTGGTAAACCAGCCTCCTTCTGAAGCATGAATAGTAAAGTTTAAGAACTCTCAATGCATTTTGTACACGATGTTGATCATAGAAAAAGCAATCTAGTTTCATCCCAATACAAAAGAAAAGAGAGGAAAGCTGAGATTGGTTCTGGATTGAAAGACGAGCAAAAATCAGTACTGAAATATCAGTCGTGTCTCTTTTATTCCTTCTTAATTTTCAGTCCCTACTCTTAACACAGTTATTCTCTAAATTTGATGAGTTTATATTATAGAATATTATTATATTATTATATATACTATTGGCTCTGGCACCTTGTATTACATATTATTATCCAATGATGAATGCTACATCCAAAACTAATTATTAGCGTGTAACATTGAGGGCATATATAAAAAATATCCTAATAATCACATTGAACATGGTTCTAACATGCCCATCTACGATGTGATGGTCTTTATGTAATTTTCATTATTTTTTTTTTTATTTTTATTTTTATTTTTTTATATCAAACTGGAGAAGTAAACACTCACTTTAATTTCTAAAATTGGAAGATATTATCATATTTAATCATTAAAATTGAGAAATTGTTAAATAAGTTTTTAAATTTAATTACTTCCTATCATTTTAATTTTTGAATATATAATATTTCTTTTTTGAGTTTTGGACTAATGTGATTATCAATTCTCACTTTGAAGAAGAACCCTTTTTTTTTCTTTTACAATTTTTTAATTGCAGGAACTATTATGATAATCTCTTCCAAATTTGGGATTAAAGTGAATGTTTATACAAAATAGTGATAAGAAGGAATAATTTGTGTTCCTTTGTATCTCCATTGTTGTGACTCTATCATTGTTGACACAGCTAAAGGCACATGAGAGCTATATTTGTAGAGTTTGGAACAAAGTGGTGGTTCAAGGGGGAAGAATATTGCCGACAAATTGTTGAGGTTTTCCAACAGATGTTTTTTTTTTGCATAAAAGTGAATGAAAATATGACAATAGATAATAGCAAGACCTGTGTGAGTGTGGTTCAATTGTTTTAGAAAAAAAAAGAGACCAAAATGGTGGGTTCGTGAGAATGTTAACCAAAGTTGGCATTTTTTGGATGGAAGTGGTGGGTATGGGAATAAAATAAAGGTGATGAGAGTGAAACATATAAAAGCCAACAAAGCAATGACTTTTAGCAAATCCTCATCTTTTTTAGTGATTGTTGCATCATATCATCCAAAAACGCCCTATCTGTAAGTCCAATTTTCATTTCATAATATCTCCTATGTATCCATTCTTCATATTAAAGATGACATTATGTAATTATTGAAGTATCTTTAATGCCGTACACGCATAATAATAAAAAAAAATTGACATTTAATCCATACCAATAAATTATAATCATGATTATATAGATATACTGAATAGTTTAATTTCTAATTAAACAATGTCGGTATAAAAGTTTGTGTAAAGACCACCAATAAGAAATCATGATAGTTGTGATTTTTAAGAGAAATATTAAAAAATTAATGACTTTACCGTCATACTAATTATTTTGTGATTGCGTTATTTTATTGGACTATTTTATAATAAAAAAATAGTTTATGCACGATAGTGTAACAACGTTTTTAATGCTCTTTTAATAGGTAATTATTTTATTTTTTTAAAATAAATTTATATATGTCACTTCAATTTAAGTAATTTATTTAATATTTTTTTCCAATGCAAGTTTCTAACTCACAAATATTATTTTTCTCTTTCTCTTTAATATCTCATTTTCTTTTTCATGTACAAAAAGTATGCTAAACAAATCCAAAGAGTTGCTTTTATAAGCAAATCTCTTTAATTTTATACAACTTAAAATCACATATGACATTCTAAAATAATATTTTATTATTAAATAATCAATAAGTAATTTTCATTAAAGATACTCTAAAACAGTTTTATTTTATTATTTAGTCACAAATCATTTGGTAGGATAAGTTTAGTGACTCTTATATATAATTAACAATGATTTTTGATTAATTTTGTAAAAATTTACACCGACAATGAACACTATTTTTATGCTAAATATAATGTGATTTAATCATTTACATAAAGAAAAATGTTGACAAAGAAATGGTGTAGTGATCTCTCCATGCAAAATGTCGTAAGATATACCTTTAGTAACTTTCTAAATATATATACATTGTTTGGTAAATTTTATCAAATTTAATTTCTTAGATTAAATCATTTTCATGACAGTTTAGATTAAGTTTCGTATTGGAGTTACTTATCAATTCTATATGACAATCATTTCTGGCAGTACCATTTGAACTAACTTTTATCTTGGTGGGGTTCTTGTAGGGTTCCATCATCAATGACACCCCAAAACATTGTCCAAACCTTGGTGGTTAAGACATCAGTTTCTGTATAACTATTTGATCACAACCAATCAAGCAGAACCTTGAATTTTAGCCACAAATATTTATGATTGAATTCAATAATAATGACAATTATTATAGTGATAATAATGCAAAAATAATTGGAAACAACTCGTTCTAATAAATTAGGTTTAACTTTGTTACCTTTTTGAGTAATTATTTTTATACTATTCTTTATTTTTATTTTTTTTTTATTAACACTAGTCGATCAGTTTAGTTATGTCAAACTATTACATAAATATATGTCAATCTTAATGATTAGTTCAACTAGCAATATTCTTTTCGGTAATTCTTTTTCCACTGATAATTAATCTGTCACAATCAAGTTTCTAACATTATTAAACTTTATCTTTGAGAACTTTTCGTACAAATTTTCATATGTGAAATTACTTTATACAAATTACCAACCTTTTTATTATCTGTTCATCATACCTGGGACCATACTATATATTAAAATAATATTCTAACTGGACACGTGTTAATAGTTGAAATTATTATTTTTCTTCCTATTTCCTTCTCTCATCCTGGCTATTGATAGATTTTACCTAACGTGATCTGACAAGTAATATACATTAAATGTCTTCTCTCCAACAACGAGAGATTATATATGTAAAAAAAACAAAATTGTTTCCTTTTAAAAAAAAATCCATAAATCATATGAATTTAACGGATACATTGATTGTCTACTTCATTACGTCAATTCAAATTAATATATTTAGATAAATATATTATGTATTAATTTAAATTTATATAAAATATATATTAAAATTTTTAGTTTAATATTAAAATTTAATAAAAATTATAAATTATTTTAAATTTATTTTTAGAGTAAATGAATTCTTCTCCTTTGTATTATAAATTTGTAAACACAAAATATATTTATACTTATACTATTGAAAATACTTCCACTTGTCTGCTTTTATTTTATTTTTATTTTACTTTTAATAATTATCCTTAATTTTTAATAACCACACAAATAATCATGAGAGATTTGTTATTATCTCTCTCTACTATATATAGTGTGTAGATATCAAGTACCAGAGTTAATACATTTGGTTAAGTCTTCTAGTTTTCACTAATTGTAACTTGAATTTGATTAGTGAAATTTCACTAACATAAATATTAACAATATATATTATTTTCACTAACATGATATAATATTTATATTAATATCATTTATCATATATATATATATATATATATATATATATAGTTAAATACTTTAATTGTTGGTATGTATTTATTTAATTTTATGATTTAATATTTTAATTATATGACTTAAGACTAATATATGGTGCCAATAAATCGAATTGACTTGATATTGTCTCAAATATCATTTGTTATGGATTAAAAAAACATTGATATGTAAATGCAAAGAAACTTATAGAAAACTTTGAAGCTTTATTGATAATTCAAAGTTTACAAGGAGATTTGTAGTACAAAGGTTCTCTTAAGCTAATACTTATGTGTAGGATTCTAAATGATACCTTATTTATCGAGAGGTATTTATATTTATACAAGAGGAAAAAAAAGGACTAGATTTCTTGCTACTTTTGGGAAAGAAAACTTAATAATTACATATTTTGAAAAGTAAACTGCTTTTACTATTTTTGGATGATATAGGCTCTGATTTTGTTGTTTTGTGTCAATACTTATTGTTAATAAATTCTTATTTTCTTATTATTATTGAATTTTTTTTTCTTTTTTATCTTCTTGTGTTGATGGTCTCTTAATCAAAGATTTTGTAATAGTTTTCAGGTTGAATTTGTATTCACACACTCAAGCTATTAAAATTTCATAGCAAATAAATATAATTAAACTCATTTCAACTTGTCTCCTTGAACACCCGCATCTTAAAAGGAAGGGTTTGGTCTTAAGTTAAAACTTGGCCTTATGCAAAGCAAATGAAAACTTTTGTAGTCATTGCTGATGAGTTTTTGAACTTGTTCCACAAAGTGTGTCAACTAATT